ATTAAAAAAATGGAGCATCGTGAGAGATAATTGTGAATGATAACAGGGGGAATCCAGAAAGGCTTTATGGAAGGGGTCAGTGGGTAGATTTAGGGTTGTGAAAGTGAAATTTCTTTCAGCTGAAAAGCACGCCGCTGTAGTTTTATAAAATACGTAATATTTATATTCTACGTTTTCAAGTTACATCAGAGCGGGCATCTTGGAGAATTCAAGGCTTTCTCATTAGTATCTATTTCTCATTCATTCAACAATGCCGCCTGTCTTTATCTTTTAAGCTTGGAAACGAGAAAGAGGGAGGGGCTAGAGACCTAATCATTTTCAGCCTGGATCCGCCAGATGATAATAAACTTTATTCTGAGATCAAAAACCAATTTAGCAATTCAGATATTTTTACACGGGGGTTACTATTTTGCGAGCCTATTTTGCGAGCCTTCTTCAAAATAACCAAAAAACATTAATTTCTTTATTTTGTTCCTGTTCTTATATTGTAGAATTTTACTACAGTCATGTACTTTGGTTCATGCTGACTGATTTAACACTGATTTTCGTTGAAAACCAAACTAACTTAGTTGCCTTAGGGTGACATTGTGGTTTCTCTTTCACGGAACTTCCAGGCTAGAATTAGAAATGAGACGACTTTTGAACATCTGACGGTTTATTGTAGAGAGACTAGATAGAATTGAAGTAAAACATGACATAAGCACTACAATAGTGAAAAGACCTCTTGTCAGGTCGAAAGAGGTAGTTTTTATGCACGAGGCACATAACCGATCACGTGATGAAAAAACTAGTTTACATGAAATCTACAGACAAACAATATTCGATACATGAACGCGTTTTTGCAGTTAATCGCACGAGTCCGGCAAACATCCAAATTTTTTCCGGATTTCGTATTTCAATTTTAAGTATGATAGAAATAAAGTGTGATTTGAGGTGTTATCATTGCAGCCATTCGACGGCTGCTATAAAAAGCACGCGATTGTATCGTGAAAAAACATCTTTAGGACAACTAAAATTGCAGAGAAAAAAGCAAGGGATCTCAATAGTATTCAAAATATATTTTGATGTTTTACTACGAGGATTTTATTCGTACGTTGTAACTCATGAATCCCGTACAAATTTAACCTGAGTATCAGACCTTAGAGGGTGTTAGAGACTGATCCTTGGCCGAAGGTGCTAACGGCACAAACATTAACGTACTTCACGAGATCTCACTACTTGGAAGTGATCTCATGAGCTAAAAACATTTGAATTTAGAAATAGAAGTATCACGGCTAATTTAGGCTAAAGTTCACATCTCAGCACTACATTGCTTTCGAAACAAAATATATTACTTTGCAGCAAAAAATAATCGTACTCAGTCGATATCCATTCACTTTGTACAAGTACTTGGACCGTGTATTTCGATTAATAAAATGTCTAAGTCGAGATTTAAAACAAAAATGTCTGTTAATTTGCTATTTTGGAAGAGGATCGCGAAAAAGGCTCGCGGCTCACACATTAGTTACACTCCTATCAAGGCAGTTAAAAACAACAACAATAATAATAACATATGTTGTCTTTATACACAAATTTCAAAAAAATGGCGACTGAAAAGGACTATATGACATTGTTACGTAAACAAAATTCTTCTTGAATAGAAATTGAAACAAAATGAAACCAGTGTTGCCACAGACTATTATATATTAGTATAAACATACTAATGGTCTATCACTCATACTGCGCTGTGATTGGCTACTCTACTAATGGTCTAATTTGTGATAGACCACTCGCGGGAAAATCAAAATAAATAAATTATAGATTATAAATTATTTTAAGGATATTTCAATTTGTTTTCATT